CTCCCCCCCACCCCCAGGGCACAGCTCACAGCCTGCATCTCTCCCCACGGCACAGCTCACAGCCTGTAGCTCCCCTCCCACACACACACCCAGGGCACAGCTCACAGCCTGCATCACTCCCACTCCCGCCCCAGAGCACAGCTCGCAGCCTGTAGTTCCCTTCCCGCGAGCTCTCCCGCCCCAGCAGAGCTCCCCGCGGTGCGTGGCGGGGATTAGCCGCGACACGTCCCTGTCGCCGCAGCGGCTGCTCTGGCGTTGCGCTCGTTGCTCGCTCCTTCCTCCCCCCTCCCATCCGATCCTCGCGCGGCCAAGGGCTAAGTAGTTCCCACCTCCCAGCCGGAGGGAGATCGGGCGGAAGCAGCTAATGGCCAGGACCATGAACCCCCGCCGCCGACCATAATCCTTCCGCCGCTTCCCTGTCCCTCCTCCTCGGGGATAGATCCGGCCGGGCCGAGGCGGAGGGATCCCCGGGCCGTGGGCTGCGTAGGGGCCGGGCCGGGCGAGGCAGGGAGGGAGAGTGTGAGGGGGCGGAGGCGCCGGCTGGAGCAGCGGGGGCGGGGAGGGGGCAACATGGCGGCTCCGTCTTAACTTTCCCCCTCGTCAGTCAGCGCCGCCGCCGCTCCCCGCCCCGCCATGCCGGGCATGATGGAGAAGGGAGCCGAGTTCCTGGGGGGCAAGAGCCGGGCGACCCCCAACGGCACCAAGAGCAGTAGCCCCTCCAACGGGCACTACTCGGAGCCGGAGAGCGGCGGCGGCGACAGCGGCGACGAGCACGGTACGAGCCGCGGACTCCCTGCCGGGCCTAGCGGGGCGAGGCTGATCCGGGGGAGGGGGCGGGGCACAGCGCTGCTCAGGGCACGAGCGCTGTCGTCTGCGCCGGCCAACGCGGGGGACTGCGCATCTCGGACCTTTGCGCGCGTGCAGGTCGGGCGGCCGCGCGCGGTGCCTTGCCATGGCTCGCGTGTGCGCATCGCACTAGGCAGCCAGCGCGTGCGTGCGCTGCACCGCACTGCACATGTGGGGCTGGGGTGGAGGTGCGGGGCGCTGCGCGGAGTGTCTGCGGCGGACCGCCAGAATTCCCGTAAATAACTCCCATCTTCACTAAGTAATAGACCTTCATCCGTGGGGGGGAGGGGTTTCTCATCTTGCATCGCTGTTGTAGGAGATGCGGTTGGAGGCTTTTTGAAGCGCAAGGGTCGCAGGCAGCAGCCCTTGAATTTGCAAGATTGTTGGTAGCCTCGGATTGAGTGCAGACCGTCTAGATCGCTGAATGTCCCAGTTTTCATTTAAATATCACCCCCTTTCTCATCCTCCCGGCCTTTAAAGATAAAATCCCAGTAATGCATTTGTTTTCTCTTGCATTGCAGATGTAGGAATGCGGGTCGGAGCAGAATATCAAGCTCGAATCCCTGACTTTGATCCTGGTAAATAGCTTTTGTACTATAACCTGACATCTTGTTGCTGCTGTTTTGAAAATGGGGGCTAATATGATTTATAATAGAGAGGGGTGCGTGTGTGTTTCACTTGAATACTGTGTGGGAGCATTGCATTTGCAAAGGTTAACGTGGATTTTTGTTTTTAGGCTTTGTGTTTGCTGTTTTATGTCAGTCACAGGAGCATTGCAGGGGCAGCATCTGCTGTGTGACTGAGGGGGAGAAAAGCATTGAGGGGGGAAAGCTGTGTTTAATTTACCAAGATTGGATGGCAGGGCTACAGACAAAGCATCAGTGTCTCTTCCCTCCCTCCTTCTCTCCCCCCTTCCGCCCCCCCCCATTGGAGATAGGAGTTGCAGGTTACAAGAGGGAATGAAAAAATATTTGCTTTATAATGCTCTTAATGTTACCTCTATTGGGGTGGGGTGGGAGGAGTTGCATCTTTGCAGAAACAGTGGATACCTTGTTCTAACACCTCTAAAATGTAGACCTGTTTTGCTGGGTTTTCAAGCACCTTGTTTTGTAAGGTGGAGTAGTCTCAATATCTGTACTGTTGCAGACTAGCTTCTCTTGCCCACACAGACGGTGGGGGAAGAAAGGGATATCGGCTAGCCACATACAGTCTGTCGTTCGGTCTTAATAAGCTGAACATCAGACACTTATTTTGTGTACATTTATAGTAGAGTAATAATGTGTTAAGCGCATCTGTCAGTCCTGCTGTGGTGGTCACAGTGAAGCCTGTCTACTTTCCTGTTCTCCAAACAGGCTCCATTGGTGTCAGATGATTCCTGCCTGGAAGAGGATTGGGCCAGAGCTCCTCCCATGGTACCTCCCAAGTTGGAGCTTCTGTCGATGGGGACTAGTTGCCCTTAGCCTGCTTCTTGGGTCTGGAAGCAGTTTTGAAAATGATTTTGTCTTAGGAGTGGGTACATCCCTTAGAAATTTGGGAGATGTAAGGAGGTTTCCTCTGGAAACTAGTACCTTATTTCATACTGAAGGTTTCTATTTGTGTTAATAAATAGTATTATGGTTAAAGCTTATTATGTTTACATTAGTAAGTCTAAACGTGTTTGTTTTAACAGATAAAAATGATCACTCCTGGCATGCAGTCTAGGCTTGTACTGCCTACAGGCCACCTAGAGAAGCAAAATGTTTAGCAATTGTTTTAATACTTTAAATAACTGGGTAGTGAAGAGAGAACATCCTCCAGCTTTCATAGGACAGCAAAATCATTCAATTCTGCAATTAAAATTTTTCTTTTATACACCATATATATTATGCATACATGCAGTAGAATTGAAACTACCAGCATAAAATTAATTTGTATGCATTCAAGAGCTTATAAGTGGATGGGAGTCATTTTAGAAGTGATCTCTGAAAACAATTTCTGTTGTGTTAACTAGTGAAAAAACTAAATGTTACATATTTTTAATGGTCTTTATAATCCAAAAATATAGCATTGCCTTTAGGATTGTGCGTACTCCTGCCTCTTATGCATAAGTTCTACAGGAAGGAACTTAAAGATTTATATCCGCTTACCGAAAATTTTTTTAACTAGAAGAACTGTAATTCTCACTATTTCTGAACTAGTAATGGAAATCTTTCTAAAATGTCTCCTGCATTGTCGTCTTGATACTAGTACTACAAAATTAAAGTTAAACTTGGAATGACTGCTCCCATGAATTGTAAGAATAAACGTCTACCGCGTTAGTGAGGCAGTGTGTTAACGAAAGAGATGTTGCCTTGTAAATCTATCTGAACAATTGTTCTCCTTTCTGATCAGGTTTATGAGGCATCATTAGTTTGAAAGCCAGACATCATGCTGTAACAAAGCTGTGCATGCTGTGGAGTGATCACTGTTTTTTTAAAAAGAGAAAAATCAACATTTTTGTTAATAGCAAATAAGATGACATACGTTTTGTAATGCCTGTTAAAGTTAAATGTATATCTAGTTTTAAATATAACACTGCAGCTTTAAAGCTAAATGTCTCTCCTGATGTCTTTGGTCTTGGCATTAAGATACCTCTTATGAAGAGTATACTGAGGTGTTAAATGTTGTTCTAATTAGGTGCACTCCATTAGATTTTTATGTAGGTAGCCATCAAATTGATATTTAAAATTTCATTCTATTAAAACAGTGAGAAAAATCAGTGGCTGATTAAAACGGCCTATAAAGTCTAACGCCCAGTTTTGGCCTCTGATAGTTGTACCTACAAAACAAATGGATTTTGAATGCATGTGTGAGCAGCGAATCCTCAGCTTCATTTGATCAAATTTTTAAAAATATTACATCGTTGCAAATTATTTCTGTTGAGCGAGTAGCTATATTAAATGACAAAATATGTTAATTGTTATAGTTGTGTCACTCCGATAATGGTAAACTAGATGTTAAGTATTCTAATTGGATGGACTCCATTAGATCTTAAGTAGTTGTCATAAAATTCAGAGTTAGTACTGATGCTGTCATGCCATTGTAGAACATGAAAAGGGGATTCTGGTTGAGAGTAGAGCAGCATGAGGGGAGGTCAATGTGTCAGACAACTTTTTTTTTTAAATGTTCACATCCTTAATGTTGAAATAATCTATTGTGTGACCAAAGAAAACTACATGTATATAATCGTTAAATAGAACAGCTGGAGAGACATAATGTAGTTGTCACTTTAACACCTAAGTTACACAAGAATACCTCTTTAATAGGAATAAGAGAAACGTATTGGATGGGAGAAACAGTTCTGACAATATAACTGGCCTCAATTCTGAAATTAGCCAATTACCAAAATAAACCTTTTTGATTTTCTTCTGCCCAATTGAACCAGATTTTGTCATCTCCTGCTGGTTTGTCACTGGAACTACTCATTCTGTTCCCTACGTCTTCTAAAACTGAAGTCTCTTTGTCCTTGTCCTACACCCCCTCAACCCCATATCAAACAAGCCCTTATTTTTACTGATATCCCACTGACACCATAGAAGTGTCAATATCATGAAGCTGGTTTCTTTTCTAAATCTCATGGGCCCTTGGGTTCCTCCAGGAAGAGAGGATAAAGAAATTGCTGTGTTGGAAAATGGGTCATTGTGTGGTTCATGAGTCAATTGAATGTATTTCAAGGAAGAAAGGAGAGGAGATGGGCAGCAGAGAGAGGTTTTGGTTGTATTTAGAAGAGGGAGGGAGAAGGATGGTCCTCTGTCTGGCTTTTCTGCTAAATCTGATAGATTTTGATTTATTTGGAGTTCAGCAAGGCTTACAACCTGAACCATTTATTTTTGGAGCTTTCACAGGTGTGTCCAGAAGAGCCCCCTGTGGACTTTAAGATATTGCCTATCTTTTAAGGCCTTTTTATGGGTCCTATCTAAGTATTCATGGCCCTAATTGCCCTTGTTTCAGAGATTCTCCTGTATCAAAACTGCTCTTCTTATGTTCCCCGTTATATTCAGTACAAGCTCTTCAGAACAGGTTCTACTCAGCTTTTTAAAAATGTATTTAGTCTCATATACTATACCTTGCCCCCCATGTTCCTCTGCCAGTTTTTCCAGAGATGCTTGCTTATTTATTTTTAAAATGTTCATTCTCCCTGTCTCTGAGTGAAAGACCCACCCAAACCAAATAACCTGACTATGCTGAGAAATTGACTACATACGAAGTGCTGTTGAAGGCACAAAGTAAAATTGAAACAAATTTCTCTGCTCCTTCAGTTAGTTGTCTTTGGTGTATTTTTGAAGTTGACACAGCCTTTTAAGAGTAGTATTCACTTCAAATCCAGAGTCTTCAGTTTTGTACCCATCACGTTTTCTCAGTGTGTCCCCCTGTGTGCCTAAGTAATTGCTATTAACATTAATTCAAAACTAACAGGTGTCATTCCAAGTCTATAGTGGAATAACTTTAGCACAGCAACAAATAGGAGAACTGATGAATTAAAGGCCATCTTCAGTTGGATGGAAACTTATTTTTGAAGTATCAACTGTTGAGCAGCACTGACGTTCATGGTGATGTACAATGCTCAGTGCAACATACAGGCTGTACCAGAAGAGCTTACATTGAGATTTTATTGGTCTACCTTTTACGCTGAGAATTCTAGTATTTTTCAGACCTGCATAGTTCTCTGCCTAATCCTCCCTGGCTGATAGCTCATTTCCTTTCACATTCATTAGTCTCTAACTTCCCTAGTATTTCCATCTATTTGCCACTACCTCTTATCAATAAGCAGAATGGAATGGCCGGTCAAAGACCATGCTGTCTTTTGAGCTGGAGTCCTTTTTCCTCAGCTAGCTTACTTTCATTCCAGTTCTCATGGAATGCATCATTCCCCCTACATTGCATGTAAAGGGTCCTCTCCACATGGACTTCTCCCTCCTGTGCTGAAGGCAGTTGGGTCAGGCGCCTCTTCAGCATGGTCTTTCCCTACACCCTCTCCCTTCCTGGATCCTGTGGAGAACTCTGCTTGGTTGAATTCAGGGAGTGAGTGGTCTTGTATGGGGGGGAGGGGGGATTCACATCTCCCTATGAAAATTACCCAGAAAAGCTTACTTTTCGTGTGAAATCCATTCTGCAATGGAAAAACATCACCCATTTTTAAAAGGATCTGAAGGGTCTGAGGGTTTGTCCCATGGAATATTCCAACCTTCCACCTATACAACCCTTAAAACCCCAACTTCTCTTCTCCCTCCCACCCCCAGCCCCCATCAGTCCCTTACAGGACACACTGCAATGGCCTATCAGATCTAGGTTGCTCCTTCCTGCAGTAGAATATGTGGGAGAAGGTAAAGAGGAAGGATTCCTTGTTTGTTTCATCCTTCCATCTGTGGGCTTTACTGTGGGAGGGAACAGTGTGACATCCTGTTAGGACATGGGGAGGGAATAGCAACATGAAAGTTAAGCTACTTAGGTTTAGGCTCAACTCTTGGGAATGGGGCATGATGGAATTGTTGTTCATTCCATGGTCATTCCAAGTACAAAGCTTCTGGCTGTAAATAACAGATATTACTTTTATAATATGAAAAATATTGAGTGTTTTTAAAATTTAGCATGCCTTTTCAGTATTACTTGAATGGTGACTTGTTCAAGACTTATTTCTTGGTTCAGAATAAACTCTCTAAATGCTGACTTTTATGTATGTATGCTTGGCAAACAAAAATATTTGGCTATATATTGCATTGTTTTATAAGTAACCCAGGTGGACTCTGATATCTTTAATTTTTTCCCTAAATGGTTAAAAGTGTGGTTTAAGTTAAAAAAGTTGAAGCACCTTAAATTTCAGATACTTTTTTTTAAACAATTTGGCTTTTTAAAATAACAATACTTTGAAAACTTCTCTGTCTCAATCTTTACAACTATCTCCTTCTTCAGAGTGAGGTTTTAAAAAATAAATCCACTGAGTACAAGATAGGAAGTGCTAAGCTTTGGACTCAATTGACTTCTCCCTTGGAAAAGTTAGTCCACTACTGAGCGCTCTTCAAGATAACACACAGAGCTCACTGTTTATAATTTAAAAAAAAATAATAAAAAAAAATCGAGTTCTGTTTCTCAGACTTATAAAATCATCATCTCGTTATTTACTACTTTTTGGTTTTAATACTATTTTTGTATCTTTTTGCTCTCTGCATAGTGCTTTGAGGCTCTTGTATGAAAGATTATGTCGGAGTGCAAATAACACTACTACAAGGGAGTTTCAAGGGAGGTTGTGGAATCCCTGACAGTGGAGGTCTTTAAGAAGAGGTTTTTGGACAAACACCTGTCAGGGATGGTCTAGGCTTACTTAGTCCTTCCTCAGTGTGGGGGGCTGAATTTGATGACCTCTCAAGGTCCCTTCCAGCCCCTACATTTTATAATTGTGTGATAACTTCAAGCTTTGAATCTTCTTCTAAACTTGAATATGTAATAGCTGCTGGTATCCAGGACATACATTAGTTGATTTTGATGTCCATGTTAAACTTGAACATTCCACAAGCATGTATTCTGGTAGTCCTCTTATTTCATTGTCTTTAATGATCCTACATTCAAGAGATGAGTTACTATTGCTGGCTCAAATTGACAAAAATTTGACTTGTGCTGCAGGTGAAGGAGATGCATTTAATATATTTGCATAACTAATTGTGATGCTACTGCAGGGGTAGGCAACCTATGGCACACATGCCGAAGGCGGCACACAAGCTGATTTTCGGCGGCATTCACACTGCCCGGGTCCTGGCCACCGCTCTGGGGGGGCTCTGCCTTTTAATTTAATTTTAAATGAAGCTTCTTAAGCATTTTAAAAACCTTATTTACTTTACATACAACAATAGTTTACTTATATATTATAGACTTATAGAAAGAGACCTTCTAAAAACGTTAAAATGTATTACTGGCACGCAAAACCTTAAATTAGAGTGACTAAATGAAGACTCGGCACACCACTTCTGAAAGGTTGCTGACCCCTGTGCTACTGTATTCATATTAACCCGAAGTGGAATTCTTTCTTATAAACAAAGAGTAGAAAGTGATTGTAAGGAACTAACTTTTTAAATAACTTCATTATTTAAAATTAAACTTTTGCTTATTGTATTTTGATATAACATCTGTAACTGGCATTAGTCTGCAAAGACCATACCAAATACAAAACGCTACAAATCGAAAGGAAGAAAACTGACTAAATATAGTACACATCCAGAAAACATTACGCTCATCTCTCCTCCAAAATGATCATTTTCCTACTAGCTAGAGATAATGCAAAAACAAAGGAAGGCATCTTTGGAGTGTGGGGGGAGCCAATAGGTAACTTAAATAAATAACCCAGTAGCTAGTAAAGAGAGGTGGGGATGGGTCTGGACTCCCTCAGGAAGACAGCTCCTTGAGGAAAACTGTGGTTCTGTATAAACCCAGGGAGTGTCTACTCTAACTGCTGGGTAGAGACTTGGCAAGAAAGGTGGTAATCAAGGCTTATATCATATATGGTTTTATTAACTCTGTGTAAGAATATAGTAGTCAATATAGCTGTTCTCTTGCTCTAAGGGTCAAGCATCATTGAGCAGCTATGTTCAACAAGTAATTTAGCCTCTTTTAAAGAAGCCCAACCAAGAACACATGACAAATCAGACTGTGGTAACGTTGTCAGTGTCAAGGAAACTAACACACTTACTGCCTCCAGCTACACTAGGAACTAGCCCAGCATGATGATCCCTAAACTCTGCATCCAATCCAACCCTGGCAAGCAGCTTTAATTGTCAAGTTCTGGTAACTGGAGTCATCTCTAATATCCAGTTCTGAATGGCAGTTGGATCACTTCAGTTGTGCTAGTCGTCTTATATACGTGTAGGAAAATAACTGTGAATGCACTGTTCTTTAGGTCATATTAATGAACACTAAAAGACAACTTTTCTTACAGGTGCTACAAAATATACTGATAAAGACAATGGAGGGATGCTTGTGTGGTCTCCATACCATAGTATTCCAGATGCCAAGTGTAAGTCCTCTTCTCCCAAGAAAATTGTACTCTGTTAACTAGAACTGATTCATTGCTTCTGATGAACTGTCTACTTCTAATTTTTAGCACATAATCCCTCTTGCAGTGTGGGAAAGTTGCATAAGTTATACTGTGTATGAAACAAACAAGCTGATGTGTCTCCCCTCCCCCCCCACCCACTTATTTCTCATTCAGGGGATTTTGGGAAAGGAAAGGTGGAATGTTTCTATCATGCTGTGGTTGGGAAGAAGGCTTTGATGTCTAATCAAGCCTTCAGACCTCTTGAAATGCATCTATTGTTACCACTGGTCTCTACAACATATATTAATAGTAGGGCAAAAGATGTAATCTTGAGAAATTCTCATTGTACAATTCCAGGAGAAAATGTGTTGCTATGGTTGCTATGCTATAGATGAGTTACCATGGAGGAAATGCAGTGGGGACCAGTTCAAGGGGAAGACCTTATGCAGACATAGATACCTGTTGCCCTCTTACTGGAAAAGTAGCGCTTATTCTGTTTCATCACCTAAGAAGATAATCAAAATATAGGAATTATCTTACTGGATCTGACCAGCGGTCAGTCTTGTCCAGTATCTTGCCTCTAGCAGTATATGCTTCAGAGGAAGAAACCTTGCACTAGGCAGTTATGAGAACCTGACCCCAGAGAGAGTTTCCTCCTAATCACAGTAGTAACAAATTGACGTAAGCCCAAAAGCTTGAGGGTTTATATCCTTTCCAAATCTCTGGTTTTATCTTTTTAATATTTACAGCTATCGCATTAAGATTTTTGTTATCCATATAAATTTATAATCATTTTTTAAATCTGTCACCTTCCAATTACAAGGAATGTCCCTTTACTCTTCAGTTGTGAGGGTGGGTCAATTAATAATGGAGAATACAGTAACTCCTCACTTAATATTGTTATGTTCCTGAAAAATGCTACTTTAAGCAAAACGATGTTAAGCGAATCCAATTTCCCCATACGAATTAATGTAAATTGGGCGGATTAGGTTCCAGGGAAATTTGTTTTCACCAGACAAAAGAGAGGTGGTGGAGTCAGAGGGTGGGATATTTCATTTAGCAATAAGGCATTTCCTGGGACTCGGCTGAGCCCTCAAGTGTTAACACATTGTTGTTAATGTAGCCTCCCACTCTACAAGGCAGCACAAATGGAGGAAGGAGACACAGCATGGCAGAGAGAGACACACTGTGTGTGTGTGAGAGAGAGAAAGAGAGACGCGCATTGCCCCTTTAAGTACGCTGACCCCACTCGAAGTACACTGCTTTTTTTAAGTAGATCAGCAAGTTGAGACAGCAGCTGCTGCCAGCAAGCGCCGTCTGTCCTGAGCCCTGTGGGGTTCCCCCCCCCCCGCTCTGTGGAGATGGGGTAAAGGGGGAGGGGGACACCCTGACATTAGCACTCTTCTCTCTTCCCCCCCCTCCCCACCCGGCTGCACAGCAAGCAGGAGGCTCCCAGGAGCAGCTCCAAGGCAGAGGGCAAGAGCAGCACACGGCAGTGGGGGGAAGGACAGCTGAACTGCCCTGCAGTTGATAGCCTGCTGGGCGGCTGTTGCATGGGGAGCTTATGGGGGCGCTGCCGGTCCACCCTGGTTCCAAGCCCCCACCAGCTAACTCCAATGGGCTGCTCTTTCTGCAAGCAGTGGACAAAGCAGGCAGCTGCCAAACAACATTATAAGGGAGCATTGCGCAACTTTAAACAAGCATGTTCTCTAATTGATCAGCTACGTAATAACGATACAACGTTAACCGGGACAACGTTAAGTGAGGAGTTACTGTATTTAAGGTCAGTGACAGATACTTGGTCCAAGCATTTTGGCTAGACATAAGTAGAGTATAGCAGTTAAGTCACAAATTTACTGTTGGTAAGGTAATGGTCAGACTTTCATATATACACTTCTATTGACAATTGACTCCATGGATGGCTAAATATAATGCTGATAATCAAGGGATTAAAAACTAAGGACCTGTGAGATTATACAGCTGTGGCTGGGTGGGGTTTTTTAGATTAACTGACTGTTTAATATACTATGTTTAAAATAAAAGTTCTCAATTCTCTTTTGAAATGTCCCAATTCTCCACTCTTTGAAAGTCCCCAGCGGTGAGATCGGTGAAAGATCACTCGATCAACAAATCTCTGGTAACTAATTAAATATTGTTAAAATTGACATAAGTATCTTAGTGGATACCATTATGTACAGTTTATTACTGTAGTCCCTACAATACAGGCACTGTACAAACATAGGAAAATAGTTTCTGCACTGCTTCAATTTTACACACTTCAAGAAACCTCACCGACTTCCATGGAACTGCTTGTAGTGTGTAAAGTTAAGCACATGCATAACCTTTTGCAAGATCAGGCCCTGTGAAAACAAGCAGTGTACAAAAGGTAGGGAAGAAGGATTGAAACATATAATCAAAACTTTGATATCAGTTATCCATAACTGCACCTCTGCTTTGCTACATTTAAGTGATTAACTTTGTAGTTTTATAGCAGAACTAACACTTCCAGAGAAATTAATTCTGGCATTGCTTTCTTACAGTGGATGAATATATTGCAATAGCAAAGGAAAAACATGGATACAATGTGGAACAGGTAAGTTCTATGAATGATTTTTAATGTGGCGTTTACTGTGAGTATAACACAACTCACTTTTTTTCATCTGGCTTCCATTAACTAATGCTATCTCTCTTCAGGCGTGGCAGCAAACACTGCAGTTTTATGGATCTGCATACTGTTGTGGTCTGGATTCTCTATAAAAGATTGAGTTCTTTACTTTTATGACATGCTCAGCTTGTAATGCACAGTTTTGAAAGGTTTGGTATGTTTCGGTACACTGGGCATGTCATGTAATTGTGTGTTTATGTAACTTAAAAAAAACGATTTCTTAGGCAAGCAATTTTGGGTATGGACTTGTGCATTTTGGAATTAAGAATTTTAAATATTTTTAAAAGCTAACATTGATTCAATGCTCTCCATGTTGCAGAGGCATTTCAGCTAGTGGGGTGATACAAAAATAATTCAACTGGCATGCTTCAAAGCAAGAAAAACACTATCAAAGTTTCAAAACTTGCAGTGTTTGGAGGTTGTAGTTAAAGCTTGGTTTTGGTTTTACTATTTAACCACTGTCCCATGAAAAACAGTATAGATAAACGTTGCTAGTTCACACTAATGACTAAGAACTGTAGCAAATTTGTATTTTAAAAATTACCAAGTGAATGAATACAGTAAAAGTAAGGGTAACAGAAAACAAAAGTTGAGTTATTGGTGTACCAGTAAAACATCCTGTTGTATAACCTTGTTTTGGGGAAGAAGAGTAGGGCAAATAATAATGAAACCTTAGTAATGAGAACTCATTGCAATATGTGGCTATTTAAGTCTGTATTGTTGGAAGGAGAGGCAGACCCTGTTGTGGTGTCTAGAATGTGTACAGAAAAAAAAAAGTTTAGCTTGTACTGTTTTTCTAGTGCTCTTTAGGAAAAAGATACAGTGCTTGTGAGAAGGTCTGCATACACAAACTGCTGGTAGTTTGTGCTTACAGTGGAAAAATGTTGTCAGGGGAAAAGCTGGTAGATCCATTAAATCAAGGCACTGAGACTTGATGAGCTGTTATTGATCATATACACTGTGTATGAAACTAGTTTAGTCAGTTCTGTTTGAGTATTCCCCAAGTCCTGAACAAGCCTTGGTGCAAAATCTATGAAGGTTTTTTTTTGTGTGTGTGGTGTTTTTTTTTTTTTTTTTTTTTTTTTTTTAGGGGTGGGGGAGAAGTCTCCAATTGTTCTAGAGTCTTTATCAGAAATACAGAGCGATTACTCTCTATTTACACCCAGTAAAGAGATTTATTTAAAATTGTCTGTTTTATGGTGTATCATACACAGCCATGGACAATGGAAATGCCCAACATAAGCCAGACAGTGTGGTGTGTGGTGTTTTTTTTATTTTTTTTATTTGAGAGGTGGGGGATTGTTAAAAGGACATTCAGGATGCATTCAGAGTTTCAAAATTATATTTTATTTACTCACTAGCAGCCTTTTAAAACTGCAAATACCTTGTCTCCCTAATGAATATTTTTACTGCATGTGCACATGCAGCAGGTGAGGGTAGAGGGCTGGGAAGCTTTCTGGTCACTGAACAGCAGAAATCTTTTTGTTTGAATGGGCTGGGAGTTGGGCCCAGGAAGGTCTGTAAAGAACTACATAGTCTATATCTGTTTGTAGAGGGAGAAAGTAGGTCAGATTTTGAGCCTACCACTATTCTCTGCTAACTAATTCAGAGGTGATGCTGCCACACTGACCTCAAATTGACTGACTGGTCCAGGTATTGCAGCATGGATGGAATGCAAAAGTGCCCACTGATCAGAGTATCTGTGGAGAGATCTTATAAACTGTATTACATAGGCACAGTAGAAGAGAAGCTTAAGTGTGAATTTCTTTTGATAGTGGGGGTTCTGATGTCAGATACTTAGTCACATTAAAAACCCCTATGTTAAATATAACTTTCTAAAGTGTGCTTTGAACAAGTCAGCTAAAATCAAAAATGGATTATTTCTTTTCAAAGGCACTTGGCATGTTGTTTTGGCATAAACATAACATTGAGAAGTCCCTTGCGGATCTCCCTAACTTCACTCCTTTCCCTGATGAATGGACAGTTGAGGATAAAGTCCTGTTTGAACAAGCTTTTAGTTTCCATGGGAAGAGCTTTCACAGGATCCAACAAATGGTAAGGTAATATTTCTGGTTATAACTATTATTTAATATAAATATTTTTAGTCTGAAGGCTCCTATCAGAATAAAGCCCCATTGTGCTAAGTACCATATAAACATATTCAAAGATAGGGTTTGTACTCCAAAGAACTCTGTCTAAGAAACTTAAATTCATTTTTTGCTTCTGTATTATTCAGCCTTTTAGAGCTGTAAAACCTCTCAATTTATTAACAAAAGGGGCATGAGATTTTTTTGGTTTAAAGCATGAAATAGCTTTTTAAGTGGAAAAACATAAGTGTTTTCTCCTTTCTCTAAATGCATGGAAAATTAAGAAAGCATTCATATAAGGGTTATTGTAAAGTAATTATGCTTCAGCTACTAGTTTACATAGTTTGCATTTTTTTTTAAATATTTGAACTAATTCTTCTAGCTTCCAGATAAGACTATTGCAAGCCTTGTAAAATATTACTATTCGTGGAAAAAAACTCGCTCTAGGACAAGCTTGATGGATCGACAGGCTCGAAAACTAGCCAATAGAAATAATCAAGGTGACAGGTGGGTTGAATACTTTTAAATAGCTAATTGCCCTAGAGTGAAGTTCTTTGTTTAGGTACAGATATGGCCGCATTTTTCTGACAATATGCTTCAACTCTAACCTGAAGAGGCCATTTCTAATGGTGAGAGTACCACTAGTTTAGACTTATGCCCTTTCAAAAGACAAACTGTATTTTACTTGTGCTCTAGGAAGTAAAAAGCTCTGTGGCGAATGCAGTAGCTGCACAGCAGACTGGTTAGCAAATAGTCTTGTGAAACAAATCCTATGAAACAAGACTTAGAAATTTTGGTTGGAGGTGGGATTAGGAGGGAAGGAATAGGTAACTAAACAACTACAAATTGCTGAAATGTCCAGTAATATTGTTTTACTGGCTTTCTGCAGTTTAAAGTACTATGGTTTTAAACCTTTAAATAGCCTTCAATTTAAAAATAAATTTTAACATGCAATTATTATTCTAAAAAACAGTATTTACCATAAAAATGGAGGTCTATTTAGTTTTTTAGAGACAAAGGTTCTAACTACATATCATCATAAGGAGGCAAGCCTTTTAAATAAATTCAAAATAATTAGTGACCCTGTCACTTAAGGACTACAAAATCAAATCCATTTGCTTTCAGTCTAGTTAGACTTTCCAGTTATTACAGACACACTGAACTTCCTGAGTGTGTTTTACTTTTCATTTCACCAGAAGTGCTATTGCCTAAACATCATAAACTTGAATCCAAATGTATCCAAGTCTTCCTGCTTAGCTTTTTTTCCAAGAGAAGAATATTTTTTTCCAACTGTTGTTACTTTAATTATGGCAACATACACAAGCTTAACAAAAGAAAAATGCTTCCAGGGTGTACTACATCTTAAAAAGAAATTCCAAAATAACCATAACTCCGGTCTGTGTGTGTGTCTTGTAACAGTATGACTATAACATTATTTAGAATGTATGTAAACTGTATAATTGTAGATAGTGTCAGCAAAAATAGTGGAACAACAGGCTAATAGGACCAAGTTTACTCATCTGTTGTCTATCCTCAGTGATGATGATGTGGAAGAAGCACATCCAATGGATGGAAACGATAGTGATTATGATCCCAAAAAAGAAACCAAAAAGGAGGTAACACTCTAATTACAATGAATGTTAGTAATTTTTCCATGATGCCTTCTGTAAAGAGTATAACTTCCAACATGGTGAAGTCCTCATATCATGTTTAAAATATAGAAGCTTTTGATGCTTTTTGAATGAAGCTAACCTTTACTATTTCATTTGCTGAGACAATTTCAGTCTTATATGTAACACCCCTCTTTTTTGAGAGAGAAGTAAAGAAATTGCTGATCAGCCAGTGAGAAGAAATTTCAAAGAATAGGTCATGACTAATCAATAAGAGAGACTTGTTTGGCTGGTCTGTCAAATACTCTTTCTAGTTTCTTACTGATGCTGAGTAATTGGATATCAAGTACTTTCTTTGTTCATTAAAATACGAAGTGATGTTTCTCAAAGTATAGCATGTCCTCTTCATTCAAAGCAATGAGGATATCTATATCTATATATCGATCTTTAATTTGTTTTAATACTTCTTTCTAGTAGAAATTATGGTGGATATGACCTTACTTTGCCCCTTTAAGAGGGAAGGAAATTCTTTGGTATCTGTAAAAGTATCTTTAATCTTTAAAAACTTTACAGTCAAGTGTGGTGTCCCTTTACCTTCTGTTCTTGCAAATAAGACTCTAAAGGTTATTAAAACTGAAAATCTAGAGGAAAAAACTCTACATATTTACACAACGTTGGGCATGGCTACACTTGCAGTTGTAGAGCGCTGGGAGTTAAACCAGCCTTCGGGGACCGCAGCAGGGAAAACGCTGCCGAGTGTTTACACTCTCAGCTGGAAGCGCACTGGTGTGGCCACATTAGCAGCTCTTGCAGTGCCACAAAGAGCAGTGCATTGTGATAGCTATCCCAGCATGCAAGTGTGGTTGCAGCATGCTTTTCAAATGCGGGGGGTGGGGTGGAGTGGAGTGTGACAGGGAGTGTGCTGTGTGTATGTGGAGGGAGAGAGAGATTTATTTTGTGGTCTGATGTTTCTGATTCTTACATACCTTGACTTTCTAAGCAAAATTAAGCCAAGTAGAAAAAGCCTATATTTTATAAAACAAAAATCATAATTTTTAGAGTAGTCTACAGGTAAGCTATGGCTGTTGCTTCAAAAATGAAAAGTAGAGTCATCAAAAGATGTGTAGATCCTTTTTTAAAAACTCTGGCTTTGATCTATTCTAAAGCATATATCTCTTACAAAATTTCCATGAGACCACTAAGGCCTGGTCTACACTAACACCCCAATTCGATCTAAGGTACGCAACTTCAGCTACGTGAATAACGTAGCTGAAGTCGACATACCTTAGTTCGAATTTACCGCGGTTCAGACGCGGTCCACACACGGCAGGCAGGCTCCCCCGTCGACTCCGCGGTACTCCTCTCGCTGACGTGGAGTACCGCAGTCGACGGCGAGCACTTCCTGGTTCGAATTATCGCGTCCACACCAGACGCGATAAATCGAACCCGGAAGTTCGATTGCCAGCCGTCGAACTACCGCGGTAGTGTAGACAAGCCCTAAGGTAGAATGAAACATCCTGTAGTGGAGAGAGGAAGGTACACAACATCACAACATAAGGCTTGTCTTCACTACTGGGGTAAATCGACCTAAATTACTCTACTCTAGCTACATGAATAATGTAGCTAGAGTTGTCGTAGCCTACGTCAACTTACCGCAGTGTCTTCACTGCGCTGCATTGATGGGAGACACTCTCCCATCGACTTACCTTACTCTTCTTGGAGAGCTGGAGTACCGGGGTCGACTGGAGAGCACGCTGCCGTCGATTTAACGGATCTTCACTAGACCCGCTAAATCGAGCGTCGATCTCCCCAGTAGTGAAGACAAGCCCATAGAAATTTAAGGGAGAAATGTATACTAGAGTTAGAGGAGAGGGGAGGAAGAGAAGGAACAAATACAGTATGCAGATGACAATATGGGATGGCAGAAAACTGAAAGAGAACAGTGATAGTCCTATAAATAATGAAGTAGGCAAGCAGATTTCAGAGAGGTTCAGGGTTTTTTTGTTTGTTTGTTCCCCCACCCCCAGAACCTGTGGAGCAATTCAGGAATTAATTTAATAATCTGTAACTAAGATCATAGAGAAGTGTAAGTATATATTAAACACAAAGTTAAAAGAACAGTCATTAGGTTGCAGAGTCAAGCACTCAAAAGTTAGGAGGTGCTGCCAGAAAGAAACCTTAATTTTTGCACTTCCTTGACTGCTTGGCTGTGCAACTTTAACACCAGGTTCTTTTAACTTAGTTTTTTGCATATAATTATAGTTGGCTGATGGCACGGCTGATGCTTTCATAGACTTTCAGGCCAGAAGGGACCATCATGATTATCCAGTCACCTCCTGTATATCGCAGGCCACAGAACCTCACCCACCCACCCCTGTAATAGACCCATAACCACTGGCTGAGTTATTGAAGTCTTTAAATCATGATTTGAGGGACGTCACGTTACAGAGAATCCACCATTTACACTAGTTTAAAGCTGCAAGTGACCCCTGGCCCATGCTGAGGAAAGCAAAAACAAAAACCCGGGTCTTTGCTTTAGGCTTTTGGATAATTTTCATTCAAAATGATTCAGCTGTTCTAGAGAATGAGGCTAGGGAGTAATACATAGTGGGTATTTTTTTTTTTTAACATGGGCAAAGCAAACTTATTTTTAAAAAAATGTTTTAGGCGCAGATTTGTAAAAGTATTTAGGTATTGCTATGCTCAGTGTGATGAGATTTAGACTCCTACATGCCTAACTCCCTTTTGAAAATGAGATTTAGGCTCTTAAATCAGACTAGCAATGCTGAGCTCAGCAACACCTAAATACCTTTTAAAAATGTGGTCCTACGTGCTCCTATGCAGTTAATGTTTTTTTGTTGCCCCGGTGAAATTCCACGCACATTTGGCAAAGTTATAAGCCTTTGAAAAACTGGAAAGTTAAACTGAGTACTTGTGCAGAGGCTCAGAGACTTGCTAGAACCAACAGCCAAAGAGTGTATCCTCAGTGAGCGTGCTTGAGCGCCTCTCTCACCTTCTAGTGCTGATCAGACTGCATGTGCACCAGCCTCACGGAGTGACTGAGCATGCGTCAGCCCAGGACCGTGGGCGCTCAGAGGCACTTTCCCTGTAGTGGCTGCTCCTGGCTGGGGCTGGGCACTGGAAATGAGAACAGAGAAACACTCTCTGTCATCTATGCGCACAGTGACACACGTATACGTGGTGGCACTTGGGCAGCAAGGAGAAAGTAGCACTGGGGAGGAAAAGGAATAGATTGGGGCAAGGAGTCCAAGGAAACTAAGACTGGAGGGTGGGATGGGAAACGTGACTGGACGTTGGAGGGGGAAGACTGGGACGGACTGACTGACGGCTTAGCTAAGCATGAGAACTGGGAGCTGGTGGGGGGGCGGGCACTGAGATCTAACAAGGAACTGGTGTGTGGAGGGAGAATTGGAACTGGCTGGACAAAGAGACTTGGACAAGGAGCCAGGGATTCAGGGGACTAAAATTAGCTAGGATCCTAGAGAAGGAAACTGGGACTGGGAACCAATGTGGGAGGAGAGACAGATCAGTCAAGGATCCCAGAAGGTGCTGGCAATGGGACTGGGATGAGGAGCAGAAACTGGGGCCGGGTAGACAAGGAGAATGGGACTGGGACAAGGAGCCAGGGATGGGTGAAGAGGTCAGGCTTGGGGGGGAATGGGGCAAAAGTCTGTGCCCTCTAGAACATTCTCCCCTCTTTCCCCCCCCCCCCCAAAATGGAACCAGAGTTTCTTGAATTTTAACAATCCTCTGATGTCAGCAAATTTCTGACAGTGGGTCTCATTCCCTTCTAGTGTTTGCTCACATACAGGTACTCCTGGGGGCATTCTGTGCCAAAAAACTAAAAATTCTGCACACAATATTTTAAAATTTTGCAAATCTTATTTGTCAAACTAACACTACATAATCACGCCAGTTTCAATTATTTTTAGGGCTGTTGATTAATCATAGTTAACTCACGCGATTAACTCAAAAAAATTCATCCTGACTAATCGCAGTTTTAATTGCACTGTTAAACAATAGAACACCAATTGAAATTTATTAAATATTTTTGGATGTTTTCTCCATTTTCAAATATATTTATTTCAGTTACAACACAGTTTACAAAGTAGACTGCTGACTTTATATTGTTTATTACAAATATTTACACTGTAACAATGGCAAACAAAAGAAAGTGTTTTTCAATTCACCTCATACAAGTACTGTAGTGCAATCTCTCTATCGTGAAAGTGCAACTTACAAATATAGATTTATTTTTGTGTTACATAACTGCACTAAAAACAAAAAAGTGAGCCTACAAGTCCACTCAGTCCTACTTCTTGTTCAGCCATTCACTAAGACAAACAAGTTTGTTTACATTTACGGGAGATAATGCTGCCTGCTTCTTGTTTACAATGTCACATGAAAGTGAGAACAGGTGTTGGCATGGCACTTTTGTAGCCATCATTGCAAGGTCTTTACATGCCAGATAGGCTAAACATTCGTATGTCCCTTCATGCTTTGGCCACCATTCCAAAGGACATGCTTCCATGCTGATGATGCTCATTTAAAAAAAATAATGCATTAATTAAATTTGTGACTGAACTTCGTGGGGGAGAATTGTATGTCCCCTGCTCTGCTTTACCCACATTCTGCCATATATTTCATGTTATAGCAGTCTCAGCTGATGACCCAGCACAAGTTGTTCATTTTAAGAACACTTTCACTGCAGATTTGACAAAACGCAAAGAAGGTACCAATGTGAGATTTCTAAGACAGCTACATCATTCGAGTCAAAGTTTAAGAATCTGAAGTGCCTTCCAAAATCTGAGAGGGAGGAGGTGTGGAGCATGCTTTTAGAAGTCTTAAAAGAGCAACACTCCAATGCGGAAACTACAGAACCTGAACCAGCAAAAAAGATGATCAACTTTCTGCTGGTGGCCTTTGACTCAGTTGATGAAAATGAACGTGCGTCGGTCCACACTGCTTTGGATTATTATCGAGCAGAACCCATCATCAGCATGGACACATTCCTCTGGAATGGTTGCTGAAGCATGAAGGGACATATGAATCTTTAGTGCATCTGGCATGTAAATATCTTGCGACTCCGGCTACAACAGTGTTATGCAAACTCTTGTTCTCGGTTTCAGGTGATACTGTAAACAAGAAGTGGATAGCATTATCTCCTGCAAATTTAGACAAACTTTTGTCTGAATGATTGGCTGAACAAGAAGTAGGACTGAGTGGACTTCGCTTTATTTTTGAGTGCAGTTATTTTTGTACATAATTCTACATATTTAAGTTCTGCTTTCGTGATAAAGAGATTGCATTACTGTACTTGTGTTAGGTGAATTTAAATACTATTTCTTTTGTATTTTACAGTGCAAACATTTGTAATCAAAAATAAATATAAAGTGAGCACTGTACACTTTGTATTCTGTGTTGTAAGTGAAATCAATATATTTGAAAATGTAGAAAACATCCAAAACTATTTAAACAAATGGCATCCTATTGTTTAACAGTGCAATTAATCTTGTGATTAATTGCGATTAATTTTCTTAATTGCACAATGAATCGCAATTAATGTTTTTAATAGCTTGACAGCCCTAATTATTTTGGTAATTTATTTCAAAATACCTGTCAGCAAGTATGTCTGTAACAATACAGACACGCACATAAGTTCCCCCAGGAGTAGAGAGTTAAAGAAACCCCTATAACAACCCAGTTCCTGTTTCTCTGCTCTCTCTCTCTCTCTCTCTACCCCCCCGCTTAGCTGGGGTGGCCAGACACCCACAACCCCTCCTCCCCAAAGCCCAGCCGTGGCCCCCGCAGCTCAGACACCCATCCCCCTCCTCCTCCAAGCCCAGGGATCCAGAGGGAGAAACTGCGTGATGCTCAGTCCTAGGTTTGCATGGAGTTTCCTGCATGCCACCCTCTCCTTGCCTCAGGGCATGCTGGGAACTGCAGCTGCCGGGAACCCTCTCTCCCCCTCCCCCCAGCAGTGTCTTCTATGTGTGAGCTGGGCTCTGCTGGTCCAGCAGCCCCTAGTGGCGGCCAGCAGCACTGCAGCCCATGTCTGTGGGGGAAAGGAAATTCTGCGCACGCAATGTTAATTTCTGCAAAATTCTGCATGTGCAGTGGCGCAGAATTCCCCCAGGAGGAATACAGGATGACAACCTATCACTATGGTCAGTTACTCAGTTAGCTTAGATGGCAGAGGTCTCTGTGATGGATCAGAAGGTTCCACCCTTGCTGATGAACCATGGGGTATCATTTTGGTAGAATTTTTATATTTTCAGTTTCTTTAAAACCTAGGAAATTGCAAACTATGTAAAAGAACATTATTAAAGTTGCAAAAGCTAAGCACTCACAAGTTAGGAAATGCCAGAATTAGGATTGCCCATGCAATCTAATTCAGCGCTCTTGTGCATATGCATTGATAGACTTCAGTTACATGATCATACTGTTTTTTCCACAGGAACTCTGTCTCATTCCATCAGTGTGCCAGATGGACCTGCTTTGGAGATGAATCAGAGTTGTGTAGTAAAGAAGGCTGTTGTCTGTAGGATCCCTGCCTCATTTGTTGTAGGAACTGAAAAGTATAGTGCATGAGTTGGGGGGGTTGCTGGAATAGAAAGGATAGTTTCATTATTAAGACCGTTGAATCCTGCCCTGGAGAATTGGATTCTATCACTGCCTCTGCCACACAGATCCTATGTGATGCTGAGCAAATCACTTAAACCAAACTTTTCAGAGATGCTCCCTCATCATGTGTTCCTCATTTTCTGACTTCAGGCCCTGGACCCTGATTTGCAGATGTGCATTGACTGCATTATGAAGTCAATGGGAGCTGTATTAGAATATTTCAAGTGCTATAAAATGCAAAATACAGCAAAAAATCAGGTCCTAAGAATCTCAAATTGGCACCTGAAATTAATGGATTTTTTTTTTTTTTTTTACTTTATGCCCAATCTGTAAAATGGGGATAGTACCTCATTTCACAGGAATTTTGTGAAGATAAATTGTTTGTGAAGATCTTGAATAGGATATATATCCAAGACCTTGTATATATGAGTACTTTAGAAAAGCTATAAGAAAATTAATGGTATTTGTAGTAAAATTTGGATAGTATGCTGTAAATAAGGCCTAGAACCACACACTGAACAATGGAGACAAAATCCTGTGGACTGAATGAAGCCGAGGTCCTGTAGGAAAACCAGTGATCATGTTATTAAAGGCTGTGTCATAATGCATACATACAAAGGGTGGAGGGGGGGGAATTAGGGTTGCACAGGCAACCTTAATTCTGGCATTTGGTAGGGCTGTCCAGAAAACAGTTCCATTTCATGAAATAATTAAATGTTTCAAACTTTGTTCCTTCTGTATTAGAATGCATTCAGAGTAATCTGGGATGGAAAACCCTGTTCTCAGAGCAGAGGGCTCGAACCTGGGCCCTAACCACCAGGCTGAAGAGTGTCTCTTTCTGTTTCTCTCATATTTTGAGCAGAGTCCATTCTAGACCGAGAAATCTTCCTGTGAAACATTTCCGTTTCAGCAAGACAGTATTTTTGATTTTTTTTTTTTTTTTTTACCAGCTCTAGTGCTTCACTTTGCAACCTTAAATTTTTTTTAATGTAGAATATATAGAGACTAAGGAGCCTAGATTTATGTAAAGCATATTTTATAACCTGTAACTTTTTTTTTAAAGCATTGGAGGTTAGGAAACTCCATCCTTTTTCATAGTATGTATGCTAACCTTTCTCTAACCCAATTGAAAATACAGTTTTTGTAATGGAACCATACTCTGTAGAGTTTGAAAGAAATGTTAATATGTTAAAGGTTGACGACAGACCTATCCAACAACTGACTTGAGAGCATAACTCTAACTTAAGGCTTTAATGCCCTTTTTGAGTAGCTGTAGAAATGGCCTCGTTTTCTCTTTTGTGTAAGCTGTTTGTAAAATATGCTTGCATGGTATTCAAAAGCTGTGTACTTTAATCACCAACCTCTTCTAACTTTTTAAGGGCAATAATGAACAACCTGTTCAGACCAGTAAAATAGGGCTGGGTAGAAGAGAGTATCAGAGCTTACAGCATCGCCATCACTCGCAGCGTTCTAAATGTCGTCCACCTAAGGGCATGTATCTGACCCAGGAAGATGTGGTAGCAGTTTCCTGTAGCCCCAATGCAGCCAACACAATTCTTAGACAGCTGGACATGGAGCTGATCTCATTGAAGCGCCAGGTACTTTGGGTCATCTGTCTTGTTTTGTTTGCTGTGAATTCCTAAGACTGTGTGTATTCTCCTAATCCAGTGGTTCTCAACCTATTTACCATTGTGGGCTGTATATGCAGCTCTCTGTGTTATTTGGGCCACATCCACACAATATAGATCTAGATATAGATATAAAAAACACACTATCAGTCAGGCCCTGAGGATGTCACATGGGCCGCAGCTATGTGCTGAATGGGCCACTGGTTGAGAATCATTGTCCTAATCCCTCTATGGGGTTTCTGAAATCATGTATCAGTTGCTTCAACACAAGTGTCTTGTTAAGTTGATTGTTCCTATATTTGTTAATTCTACACTGATAATAGGTTGGAAGTTAGAAAATAGCCTCTTCTGTTTTAATGCTACCCTTGCCCACTATTGAGGATATAATTTTGTGGGACTTACCTCTTTCTAAAAACACATGTACATTTAATTCTTGTCAAGGGGTAATCCTCCCAACAGCTTCTTAATTTCTATGTTGGAGGGAAATAGAATCTTATTGTATTTTAACATCTTATCTGATTTTAAACTGAATAAAATCTAATAGGGGGTGGATGTGATCTGTTTGTTTATCGTATATTATAACTTTTTTTAGTGTGTGTGTAGGATGGGGGAATCCTCAAAACATTGGAAAAATCATGGATCCAGATGTATTTCTGTTTAAAATGCTGGAAGGGTGCAGCTCTTTCTTTGCCTAGACTGAGTGCAACAGAGTTTCTCCATACTCAATGCCTTCCCATGCATTCAAGCCCTTGCATGCTGTCAAACCAGCTATGCAAATCCATTTTCTCATATATGTGTTCATCTGTGCATTGCGTCAGCACATTTTAATTTAATAGTGATGTGCAAGTGTGAGTTAGAAAGTACACCTTTTGTAAACAAAAATAATTCCAAAATGAACTATATCAGGAGATCATAACCTGAAGCCAACAAAACTAGTAAAAAGCAGTCTGCGACAAGAAAGTAACTAGAAATATCTCATCACTTTTTAGAGTTCTGTTGGGGAAGGAGAGAACCTAGCCTTCTGAGAAACAACTTATGTATAGAATTTCTCTCACTCAGTAAAAATGTAAGAGCATCAAATGAAAAGATGTTTGTAGTATCCTTAAATATTTCTTATTCTATATAGACATGTAATTTTGTGAAAGTTAGCTTTTATCTTCCTCCTGGTTTGTCATAATCCTGGTGGACAAATTTTAACCAGCCTTTCAAAGAACACTGTCTTAGTCGTCTCTCTCTCATTCACTCTCCAGGGTAAAATATGATTTGTTTGTGAAGCAGCAGTTAAAAGTAGAGAAGCATTAAACCATAATGTTTACTTCTGTAATTTAAGAGGCATACTTGTGGCAATCCTAGTGGAGATGTTTGTATGAAGTGATCAGATTTCTTTGTGGAGCTGATTAACTTTTTTTTTTTTTTTTTTTTTTTTAAACCAAGGTTCAAAATGCTAAGCAAGTAAACAGTGCACTGAAACAAAAAATGGACGGTGGAATTGAAGAATTCAAACCTCCTGAGGTAAACTAATATAATGTGCTAGAATGTGTGGCACTGCACTTGGATTGGTGGGAAGATACATTAATGTATAGTTTGAGTCGTTTGCTGCTGAACAGTGTTTGTGTTTCAGCAACAGTTTAACTGGAACACTGAAATTCATGCAATGGTAAATATGTTGGTTCTCTGGAGGACCAAAATATGTTTTTCCTCAATCTTTTAAATGGGAGGTAAGTGGGAGTGGATAGAGGGACAACAGAAGCAGTGAGGTTAGCATGATTATACATGAAGTTAGGGAGCTGAATCATGTGCCATTACAAACCAGCTTTTCTGGTGAAACTGTCAGCTAATTAGTTTCTACTTTCACCAACATGTGACAAGCATTGGGGTGGGTTTTTTGTTTTGTTTTTTTCAATTACTGACGCTACTCTTTTAATGGTGAGCATATTACTTGAAAATGCAAAATAATTTAGAAATTATGTTCTAATAATACAATTTAATATTAAACAGTAAACTAACAATGTTTTTACCTTCATGAAGATGATTATTACTCTGTGACAATTGAGTCTTACTGCAAACAGGGAAAACTATCAAAGAAATTCAGGCATTGAAATATATTTTTATAATGACTTTCAGATATTTTACAATGTGTTTGGAATGTGCTTTAATGACCTTAGTGTGTAATTTCTCTAATTTTAATAGCTGAATCAGAAAATCAATGCCCGTTGGACTACAGAAGAGCAGCTTCTTGCAGTACAAGGTATGTTACAGAAAAGTAGTAATGACCTATAACTATTAAAAATCTTAAGTGACCTGCAGATTTCTTAAAAATTGGGCCTGTGCCCTTTTTCTGCTTTATGTATAAAGAACACCTAAGAAAATGCTTTGTTTTTCCCTTTTTTTTTTTTTTTTTAAGGTACCTTGGGGAGGAAGTTGCTTATTTTTTTTTTTTTTTTCCCTTTGAAATGTTGAGAATGTAAAGTCTCTGGCTTTGTTGGAAGACCAGTGGAACACACATGGTGGTGGTGGTGGTTGTTGTAAGCCCTTTCTTTAATTGAAGGGGTGTGAGTGGTATATACTCTACATTGAGTAGATTCAGAGTTTAGTCATTGAAGTTAAATGGGTGTTAACTTTTTTTTTTTTTTTTTAAAGCCCACTGGTGTTCTAAGCAGTCTGACTAAAAATCCCATCTCTTAATATATAAATTACACATCACAAGACACTAACTCTTCTTCCTGGTCTTCTAGCCTAAACAGACGTGAAATAAAGTAGGAAACAAGTAGGGGAAAAAATATTTTTCAGGCGGCCTTTATACATTGAAAAAGAAGCAAAAAGGCAGAAGCCCAATTTCTTTCATTTACAGGTCATCTTTAACTAGGCATGAAGAGACAAGATACAGTCTTCCCATCCAACATCCTGCTGTGAAAGTTTGAGGCTGGAGACAGATGCTGTACTAACACATTTTCTTAGTGGCTAGCAGTGCACTTTACCAACAGGATATTGGGTACAGTTAACATGCAATAATCTCTTATCTAAGCATGAAAAATCTCAGATTGTTGTCTTGTTAAAACAGTGCACTGCACAGTCCAGAAAAAGCATTCAGATAGAAATATAAACATAAAAATGAAACTCAGTGTATTAACTTCAAAGTGTGATAAGTTGCATCTCTTGTATTTTCTGATACCATACATCAGCTCAATATTACTTCAGTGAAGTAATCGAGCTAGTTCTCTACATCAGTGGTTCTCAAACTTTTTTTTTCCACGGACCACTTGAAAATTGCTGAGGGTCTCAGCGGACCACTTAATGGTTTTTCCAAATGTTGTTTGTACCATTGACGAACTGTTGTAAAGCGCTTTGGATAAAAGCGCTATATTAAAAAAACCGTTAATAATAATTGTTTTTTGTTCTGCAAATAAAAGCACACAATTCATATTTTAATATCAGTAGTCTTACCTTTCTAATGCGATGAATGTGCCCTCTCTCCCTTGCTGTGGCACCTCCTGGGCTGGGAAGGATGGGGGTCTCCCCCACTGCGGCAGCCATCGAGCTGGGAAGGAGGGGGGTGTCTCTCCCCAGCAGCCGCAGCCCTGGAGCTGGGGAAAGTCGCCTCTCTGGCCCTGCATGTTCCAAATTCCCCCCCGCCCCCCCTTCTCACCCCCCCCCCCCCTCCCCCACCCCCCCCCCTTTCCCCCCCCCCCCCCCCCCCCCAAGGCCACCACCTTACCTTACATTTGCGTCTTCTCCAGGGTCCAGACACCTAATTAGTGGAGCCACGCCTGCACGGCTCCACTAATTAGGTGGGTGGCCTGTCATTTTCTCATGTGCTACCGCCCAGGCCTGCGCACCTTAGAGGGAACTATCCATGGACCACCTTAATGGAAGTGGTCCGCAGACCACAATTTGAGAACCTCTGCTCCACGTTGTTTACCTGCTTTAAAATAATGCTTAGACTAATTAGTATAACTTGCCCCATGTTTTGTTAGAATATCATAATGTATAAGTTACTGAACATTCAGTATTTGATAACTTTTAGTATTCTGACTCTGCTTCGAAAGTTAGGATTCTTTCAAAGGTTGAATGGTCTTTATTTCTTTTATACGCAACCAGTAAACTCTTATAGTGCTTTTTAGTACAGAATTGGTTATTTTGAATAAGTCCTCATATCTTTTGGTGAACATAGTTTTGAAATGGCTGAGGAAAAAACACAGCTTTGTTCATGCTCAGTCATTTTTCATACTATTTGGTCTGCAAAAACTTAAATCAAATGACTGTTTTCAAGTACAGAACCGATTACATTTGATGGCGCATGGTGGGGGAATGACACTAACTTTCTGAAATCAAATTGCTGCAAGTACATAAACTACTAGACCTATTCCATGCTTAGGAAATATGACCCAAATAAGATCACTGCAAACTATCTTTCTGAATGTTTTACTCTGTATATTGCACTGGTCCTCAAACTGGGGCATGCTCCCTTAAGGGGCATGGAGGAACGTTTGGGGTGGTGATGGGGCACATGGCAGGGCCCAGGCTAGCTCTCTTGTGGGACGGGGAGGGAGTGCCACCCAGCCCTGCCCCAGCTGCAGGCCCCCTCACCCCTATTCCCTCTCTGTCCCCATCCCCAGTTCTGCCCCCAGCTCTGCTGTCAGCCCAAGCTCCTCTGCTGAGCTAACTGTACAGTAACGGAGTGGGGATGTGGACAGATTCCATTACTGGTCGGGGGGGGAGGGGCACGATGGGAAAAGATAAGGCACCACTGGCATATTGGCTCTGGGACTACTGGGGGAATTCTGTGCAAGAGCAGAATTCATGTCCCCTGCAGATTTTACTCTTTCCCTGCAGAATAGTTGATTCATGCACCCCTCCCAGGCAGTGGTCCTGAACAGGCTGTCTGGTTTGGGCATTGGGAGCAGCCAGGGAAGATGTAAATCACCACCTCAGGGGGTGGGACTGGGCATGCGTATAAGACTCTGTCCCTCTCACTCGCTGTTGTGATGTGCCTGGAGCCAGAGAGGGGTAGGCCTGGAGACACCTGGCCAGTAGCTTCTACCATGTGCCAGACTCCTATCTCATAGAGCTGGAAGGGACCTTGAAAGGTCATCGAGTCCTGTCCCCTGCCTTCACTAGCAGAACCAAGTACTATCCCTGACAGGTGGGTTTTTGTTTTTGTTTTGCCCCAGATCCCTAAATGGCCCCCTCAAGGATTGAGCTCACAACCCTGGGTTTAGCAGGCCAATGCTCAAACCACTGAGCTATCCCCCCAGCTGCTAGCCCTGTGGGGGGACAAGACTTATTCTTCCCCTGCACCGGCTGCTCCTGGGGCCAGGTCCAACCCCCAGCCCCAGGAACCTCCCCCAACTGCAGGAAGCTCCGCACATGCACCCCACCCCCTGCTTCTTGCTCCCCAGCTGCGGGGGAAGAGGTCACTGTACAGCGAGCTGCTCCCCCATCTGCCCAACCCCTGTGCATCTAGACCCTCCACCCACCCTGCCAAGCCCCATCCCACTGAGCTGCACCCGCACTCCCAGCCCCCCTGCACCCAGATCCCTGTGCTGAGCCCCAGCCACCTTCACCTGGATCCCCCCTGCTGAGTCCTATTCCCCCTGCATCTTGACCTTCCAACGAGCCCCTTTGCATCCAGATCCCCTCTCCCTTCCCCCCCCCCCCCCCACACACACACCTGGACCTGGGCCTCCCACCAAGCTGCCCACACCCAAATTGTCCCACACAGAACTCGCTCACCCCACACCTGGATCCCCCCACACTAAGCCCCTCCACACTTGGATCCTGCTGGGATGAGCCTGCTTGCCCCACACCTGGATCAGGTGGCAGGGCTGGCCTTGCATGTGATACTCTGTCCCTCTTGCTTGCTATTGGCATGAAGGGGTAAGGTCCCAGGGTGTTTCTGGGTCAGGCCTTGCCCTTGCGCTGTGTCAGGGTCGGGTGCAGCCTCACTGCCGACTCTGTCCCAAAGGGGGCAGGGGGCTGCAGAGTGATCCCCCACCTCTGTGCAGTCAATGGCCTATGCTCCCCGCTGCCCTGCTGGAGCCTCCACTCCCATTGCCCTTCTAGTCTATTGTCTGCAACAATTTCAGTTCCAGTCCAGTGACTGTACAGTGATATGCTGAGTACTACTTAACCATGCCATTCACTAAGGCCCCAATCTGGCAAAGCATTAGTTTTAATGGGGATACTCAGGTGCTGAACTCTAGGCACACATTTAAGTGCTGTGCCAGATCATGGCTTAACTTCACTCCTAAGGATGTGCTGCCTTTTAGGGCATGTCCACACAGCAAAGAAAAGCGCACAGCTGGCCCATGCCAGCCAACTCAGGCTCGCGGGGCTTGGGCCGCAGGGCTGTTTCATTGCTGTGTAGACTTCTGGACTGGGGCTAGAGCTTCTACTTTTTGAGCTTCATTTTATAAGACTAGGCAAGTTATCAAGCTTAATCAGTCTCCTGGGCGGAAAGGAGGAAAGCTTTAGGAAATAACTTAAGGTAGTGTTTGAAACTTGATTATGTAATGAGTAGTCTGTGCATCAGTTTGCCGTTATATGACCTAGAAAACTGATAGTCCCTTTCACGATAAATGTGTGCTTTGTCAGTATGTTAGGTTTTCTGTCTCCCAATGAAGATTTAAGAGTGCTGTACTGAAGTTTTGTATAAATCAGTCTCAGTAACACTATTGGATACTTACTAGTATGCTAAAGGGAATCTGAAAGGAACCTGAACCTCAGTGGTCAAATGAGAGAAATGCATTTCATTTTATTATCCTTTTGTTCACTTAATGAATTTTGCAAATTGGTAAATAAGTCACAATGAGTCTTCTAATCAGCCGTGTGAGTTAGGGCTAATCTGTACTAGAAGCACTACATCTGCACAGCTGCAGCATGTCTGATGAAGATGCTCTATGCCGACGGGGGAGAGTTCTCCCATTGGCATAGTAAATCCACCTCCGCAAGAGGCAGTAGCTATGTTGGCGGGAGAATCTCTCCCACAGACATAGCTCTGTCCACACTGGCATTTAAATATGTGTAACTTATGTTGCTCAGGAGGGTGGCGTATTCACACCCCTGAGCGATGTAAGTTATGCTGAAGTAAGTGATAGTGTGGACCTGGCCTTAGTGAAGCTCTCCTATTATGCCATGTCTATTATGACAGGCAAAAGACTGAGTACTGGAGAGAGCATACTTTGAAAAGATGTCGCTATATCACTCGTCTTTCTCTCTCATCTCCTGCCATTGTCAGTGCACAGAGCAAATGGTTGTCTCTGTCTTGCCCAGACTTACCCTCTTTAGAAACACTACTGCTCCGTCTTGCACACTGTGACTCCCTGCAGCCAGATTGTGGGGTTTTTTTTTTTTTTTTTTTTTTCCCCCTGTAGATCTCTATGTGGGGGAGCAGGAGCTTACTAGTACATATGTGCAGAACCAGCCATAATTTTATTTGGCCCTTAATGGCTAAAATGGAAGCTTCAACTGTAGTTAAACTACTTATTGGCACTGAATTTTCTCTTGTACATTCACTGCAGCGAACAAGACACTGCATATTAGAAGCACTTATTCAAAGAGAAAAGTAGAAAGAGCAAAGTTATATCATTTTTTATCAAGTTACTAAGAGCATACAAGATTTTCTAATTTGAAATAAATAACTCTCCTTCTGTATCCTTTACTTCACCTTTCTGAAATGAGACATTACATCTGGCATATAATTTTGCTATTGGGGGAGAAAATGCATGTCCTTTACCCATTCAGAATCCATTATAGTACTTAAAGTCATCAGCAATTTTCCACATTACATAAGTCAAATCTTATTTTGCTCATGATATGAAAGGTTACCTAGCAGAAAGCAAAAATCATATGACTGTCTCCAGTTTATGGATTACTGTAGAGTAATTTTTATCCCAGGCTATAAAATACAAGCAGGTCCTGTCTCTGGAGTCTGAAAGGTACGAAACTCTTGGACTCTTTGGGTATCAAAAATATCATTTTTAGGACAGTAGCTAAAAGCAAAGCTCCAGAGTGCAGGAGAACATGAGGATTTTCCCCTTGAGAACAGGAAAGCGGAGAAACTTCAGGGTTACCATTAATATATTAAAAGGGGAGAGACTCTCATATCTTTGTTTTTAAGAAAATGGAAACTGAATTGAGGGAGAACTGGTAAACTTCAATATGCCACTTTGAGACAACCTGATTCAGGTATTTAAAATACATGTATTTTGTTTATTTGATCGACCATTCCTTGATAACTGACATATCAAGATTTCAGATGGAATTTTTGAGTGCTAGTATATTGTATTGGGAGAGAGAAGCATACAGAGCCAGCCTTAATGTGTTTGAGTGGGCAAGTAAAAATTTTCCACAAAATCAGGTATAACTAACTTTTTTGATGCCAAAGGCAGTCTTAGGATTTTGGGGAGGATCAGAAATAAGTTGAGGCACTCCCAAATCAAACTGATTGATATAAAAATAAATGAAAGGGAGAGGAGTTGAACTATTCATAGACTCCCACTGCAAGAGAATTGGGTCTCAGGTTCTTTTGCTGAGAGCTATTTTGCCATCACTTTTTTTTTTTTTTTTTTTTTTTTTTAAGGGCAGTAGTTCCAAATAAGCCCAGTGAATATCTGCCAATTTGTCCTATATTCAGAGGGCTGTTCCCCCATTTCATAAATAGCTAAATGACAGGCTGTTAGCCTGTTCCCCTTAGGGCACGAAGGAAGTGTCAGAGCCAGGATTAGAATTCTAGTGTCCTGGCTCTGCCTTGTGCTGAGTCAGTAGACTCATGCTATTGAATTCTGCTGCTCCTTTCAGTCAGATGTCACATGGGTTCTTGGGAAAAGAGCTAGCTTAGCATGCAGCTAGCTGGGGGAAGCCTACAAAGATGACTTGTAACCATCAGTTGAAGCTCACAGAGTAATGTTCTCTCCCCCTCCAAAAATATCAAATGATCTATTTCACACATCAGAGACCAGCCCTGCATGGCTGTAGGGAGGGCCCTATCAATTACCAGGATCCTTAGAAAAATCAGTGACAAACCCTAACCCTAGTGAAAAATTTCCTTGCAAAGATAGCCTTGAAAGAAAAAGAGTCAGTGTGTCTTCTGGGAATTTTTTTTTGGTTTGTTTTTTATTTATTTATTCTAAATGGAAGCTGTAGTCTACCTTCTAATGGAGAGGTCCTTAAAATTAAAGCGAGCCCTTAGCTGTAGGCCCCAAAGGCCATATTTGTATACATACTTCACAAATAGCTGTGCCTGACTGATCCTTCACAGGTGTATTATTTACTTTGCCTTTCAGGTGTACGCAAATATGGTAAAGATTTTCAAGCTATTGCAGATGTAATTGGCAACAAGACAGTTGGCCAAGTGAAGAACTTCTTTGTAAACTACAGGCGTCGGTTTAACTTAGAGGAGGTGTTGCAGGAATGGGAAGCTGAACAAGGAACCCTGGCTTCTAATGGTGATGCTTCTACTTTAGGGGAGGACACAAAAAATACTTCTAATGTGCCATCAGGAAAGAGCACTGATGAAGAAGATGAGGTGTGTTTTGTGTATCACGTATTAGTAAGCATGAGTTGAGGAATAGCACTTAATTCAGTGAAATATAATGTAAGCTTAATCTGATTGTGATACACTAGTGTACTTGAAGGCCTGATCTTGATCTTATAAGCTTCATTGGGAACAGGATTGGGCCTCTAATAGTGAATTTCTTATGACTGTATTTAATGTTTAAAAAAAAAAGTAGATTATTGTTTCATCAATATTCTATTTTTAGTTCCACTATTCAGCAGTTTAGAAATTAAAATGCTCAGTAACTTGTTTTTTCAATGTCAAAAAAAGCTTGTGCTTTCGATATAGTGGACACTGGCAACCCAAACTGCATTTTGTTCTGGACAGGATGGCTCTTTTTACATAACATTTTGTCTTTGTGTAGGGACAAGCCACGCAGATCACTCAGTGTTTAGGCCCTTCGCCTCCAGCACAGGCATCTGCTCCAGCAACCCCTGTAGCAACTTTGAACCAGCCTCCTCCGTTACTTCGTCCAACGCTTCCGGCTGCTCCTGCTCTCCATCGTCAGCCTCCACCACTTCAGCAACAGGCTCGATTTATTCAGCCAAGACCAACCCTAAACCAGCCCCCACCACCACTCATCCGCCCAGCTAATTCTATGCCTCCTCGTCTAAATCCAAGGCCGGTATTATCCACAGTCAGTGGCCAACAGCCACCCTCACTTATTGGAATTCAGACAGAATCACAGTCCACTCTGCACTAAAGAAGTGAAATAGGCCAGAACTATCGTAACTCCTTCGATAAAATTTTATCAATGTCCACTTTTCTCAAATAATGAAGGGGAGAAAAGAGCAAGCCTTCCAAGGTATTGTGAAGCAGTTTTACTCAGAGAAGCAAGCTAATAATCTTAGCAGTGGAACCACATGAACGACCAGCTGTATAAAAGAATCTTCTGTGCAGAAGACTTGTACAGCAAAACAATGCCTACAGTTCACCCTTATCCATATGAATAACGGTCGAAGGAAGCTAATCTCTTAAGCAAATAAATGTTCTGTGCACCAAGATTTTGTTTAACTGATTTTTTACTCTATTTATTTTATTAAAGTTCTTTATATTGAAACATCTTAGTACAGGAATGCAGAGTCTGGCAGATTTAGGAACTGTGACAACTCCTTAACTGACAGTAGAAATTAATGTGGGGGATTATTTTTTTGTTTTCCTATGTTAGGAGTGCAAGAATTAATAGTCTGCAGTTCAGATATACAATAGAAGTATTTCATGCACTTTTAAACTATAGACTTTTTTATAGCTTTCTCAAAACAGACTTTACTTTCTTTAAAAAGATACTTTCTCATTAAATACTCCTTTTGAAAGAGTAATCTGAAGATCTGCTCAGCTATTGTACCAAACGTGTTAAATCTAGCAGTGTGTGTTCTAATCATATAAACCCTCTGATACCAGGCATCTGATTTCCTAGTGCAAAATTGTAGGAAGTGGATGTGCCAGCAACTTCCACGTCCAAGGAAATGATGAAAAATACCAGTAATGACCACTGTTGTAATGTGGCTACTCCACTTATTACACTTACAGTTGAAGTACAGTAGTTTTTAATCCCTTTGTAAATGGTCATATCTAGAGTTACATACTCTATATTATTGCTCTTTACCTAAAGCTTTAACTAAAATACTGGTAATGCCAATTAGCAGGGAATGTGTCCTCAAATGTTGTGATGGTGGGATTATGTGAAACAACCTAATTTCAGAGAAGGCTAAATGGTTATCTGAGCTTTCCCTTCCCCCATCTGGGTTTGGTTTTTTGTTTATTTGTATTAAATCAAATACAAAACAATTAAATAGTAATGCAGGTCTGCATTTGGTGTTTATTGATCCTTCTAAATTTTTTTTGGTTAGGCGTTGGGGGACTTCTCTGGAGAAACTAAATTATCCCAATTATCTGAAATTATAATTTGTGTCTTTAGTGACAAAAAAGTAAAATGTGAAGTTGTAAGTTTGTCAGCTCTCCTAAAAAACCTAGGCCAGAAACTTGGGTAAGGAAGTGTTTAAAGTTACTGTTTGGGAGCCAGTGTGGACTGGGTCAAGCTATGGAAAAGTGTTTGCTTTTAAACACTGTGTCCTGCACCCATATTGACCACCTCACTGTTCTAGAAGCTCTTTTAGCTGGAACAGTGTTTGAATATTTTAAGTATAATTCCATAACTCTCTGTTCTTGGCCTAACACAGACTGGGCCTTAAAAATAAACTGGATCTTCAGTTTGAAATTGGAATTTACAATCCTCAGTCTCCTACAGATTCAGTGGTTCAACTGTCCTGATGTTTTACAGTTTAACAGTTTTGCTGAAATCTTGTATCTGTGCAAAGGGAAGTTCTTGTAGAAGCCTTTTACCTACTACATTTGTAACTTAAATATTAAAATCAGACATGTAGCCTTAATTGTGGTTACAGTGTCAACCCTATATAAAAACACTTTCCAGAAATGGTAAACTTAGGAGACTTTGTTTTTTGAAACATCTGTCTCTGCTAATGTTCTTAGCTCTAAGTTCAAAAGTCCCTTTTTGGGGGGTTTTTTCACACCAAAATTAGATTCCCAGCCACCACATGGACATTAGATAGTGGCTGTTCCAGAAAGAAAAGCAGCATTGTAAAACAAACGATGAAGAGTTCTTCGTGATTGTTGGAACTTTTTGTTTTGGGGGGTCAAAAGGGCCCCTCAAACAACTACATGAAGTCTGGCTGACCGACAGACTTTTAGGCTGACAAGAACCCTGTCTTGTGCATTTTGACATAACTGTTTAAATAAATATCTAATTTTAATTGTTACTTAAGTAGAATGCATCTTTCAGTATTTTTTTAAGTATTGATATCAAGTCTCCCTGGTGTGTGTACTGTACCTTTGCTAATTTTTGTCTTGTCTATTGTCAATAGAATTTCAGTATGCAAAATGTTGGGTGTTGCAGTACAGTTGGACACCACTGACTGCTATCAACTGTTCAGTACATTGTAATTCAATTTAATCCTGTTTAAATATTCTGTAACTGGGCAAAGGTGCTGTATTTGGGGGGCAAGGGTGTAGTGTACTTTAGTTTACGTACACTGTGGCACACAGTAGGGAAACTAGCAGTTGTAGTACTAAACAAATATGTACATAGCAAAATGTCCTTTTTATTGTGTGCTTTGCAGAATATGTGCATACAGTTTGCACGTCTCGTTTTGGGGGTGGGGGTTTGTTTTTTAAACAGTGTTTTTGCCTGGAAGAGTGATATGCTTGCTGCTTAATCAAAGGATTAAAGTTTTAAAGGAATCTGTGTCTTCTATTTTTATGTACCTTGTAATGGTCTGAAATTTTAGGGCCCTTATACTGTGATTATCTTCTAAATTCACTTATATTTTTTTAATAATTAGAAATAAAATTATACAATGGTGTTAATTTCACTGGAAATTTTGTTTTTGCTATACCACTAATCTCCTGGTTTTGTCTTTTTATAACTAGTTTAGGAAATGAACTCAACTAATTTTCAAGTTGTCTTATTTTTGTCATGTTTAAGAAATATAAAATGATTGCACACTTTTATTAAGTTTGACAGAGAAAGTGTATCCTACATTGTTCGGAAACAATATAACTTTACAGCTCTTCTTTTGTACTGTTTATTTTCAGTTAATAAAGAAATGTAAACAGCAACTATTGAAGATGAATGACAAAATTAAAAGTGCAAGGTATGATCTGGACAAAGTTTCTAGGTTCAAGAAACTGATTCACAGAAATGGACTATAGAGGCACACAAAGTTCCAGTCTTAGTTATTCGGCTTTAAATGACATTGATTATGAATTGGAACATTACCTTTTGGTACCATAAAGGAAGTGTACATAGCACTTATAAGACAGTCCCCACTTGGAAGAATTTACAGTCCATATAAAGTAAAACATGGAGCAACCGTTAAGTTATGGAGGAGTCTAGATGGACGTAGTGACATTGCAACTGTAAGAGGCACTCTTGGAAAAGTGTGGCTTGCGTATAATGTTGACTAGTATGGGCTTGTGTGTTTTGCCTGCAAAGGAGAGGAATCAGCTTGAAACAAGGTGTGAAGCTCAGAGCAAGGAATGAAGGGAGTAATAAGAGGAATAGGTTGTGCTTGCAATAAGGAAGGGACTATAGGAAGGCAAGGATCTTCAAAATGTGTTAAACTGGAAAGCCAGTGAACGGATTTGAAGGCTTGCTCTGGAGTCTTTATTTTATTTTATTTTATTTTATTTTTTTTTACAAAGAGCAAATAGGTCTTTAAAAGAAATCACTAGTGTGCAAAACAAGCATTTTATTATTTTAATGTAAAAATTGGGTAACTTTAGTAAATGTAGTTAGATTACAAATTCTTCTGTAGAGTCATGCTGAGACTGAAAGTTGGTAAGAGTAAGAGCTGAATCCCTCTGGTTTGTGAAAGTAATTACAGGATGTCATGATAAAGACACTTGTCTTCAGAGAGCAGGACAGTAAGTGAAGGGTAATAGACAAACATAAGCTTCTCAATACAATATTTATGGTTCTGCTAAAATTATATTTATAGACTGGTACAAATTAATATGAATCTTTTGGTTGCTTTTTTAAATGGAGAGAAGAATAGGAAGCCAGGTTTAAGTGCTTTACAAGGAATTCTATTAAAGGGATGTTTTGAAGTGCATGGAAGTTACTTGCACAGCTCTTAGGACACTATCAACGTTGATGACTAAAATTGAACCTGCCTTTAAAAAAAACCCATTATTTTCTTCTGTTGTGTTCTCTACTAAATGTTCCTTAAATTAAGGAATCTTTTGATGGAAGCCCTTTGAAGAGCTTGCTTCCTCAGTACCATTCTCCACAAGCAAGGATGCCTAACTTCAGATTGCTAAAGTCATTTTCAATGTTTTGGATCCTTTTGGATGCCTTAAAATAACAGATTCAGGGCAATAATTAATTTTGCTACTTCCTTTAGCAGGTAACTCGCTTCAGTCTTTGAAGGGGAATCAACTTGGTCTGATGGTGCTTTTCCATTGCTATGTGCTATTATCTTGTCTTTCATTCAAATCTGCCACGGTGTTTGACAAATCTTAAAACTATGTATATATGGATGCTGGGTGCACTTCATCATTGAAAAACAGCCACTTCTGGGATAAAAGTGAACATTCTCTAAACAGCCCATAGCAAAAGTAGACTACTAGTGTATTTAATTTAATTAGGAAATGCCTCGTGGTGTCATTTCTGCATCATACTATTTATCAAAACATACTACTGCTTTACTTCTGCAATGTAAGTATTTTTTTTTAAAGTGGGTGGATGTCTGACTCTATCTTGGTAGTAGACTAGAATGCTTTCTGTATAAAATCAGAGGCGTTACATGTTACCATTGTTTAGCATTACTGTTTGTTGTGTTCCATGTAGCCAGTTGCATTTTGGAAATGGGTGATATTTTCTACTTGTTACACTTATTTCATAAGATTATTTGAAATTTTGGTTGGTGGCTTCAGTGACTTAACAGGTGTGTAATTTTTACATGGGAGTAGTCCCATGGACCTCAATGGGACTACTGTGAATAAAGTTACAGTCATGTTTAAGCTTTTGCAGAAATGGGGCCTTAACTAGCCCCACTCACGCAACTGTATAATTTAAGAACATTGTCATTAGAGATGAAGACACCTGCTCGGCTCTTAGCCGCGCCCGCACCTGCTGCGTGGGGTGATGCCGGAGCTGCTTGGCTTTTCCCTGCACCCTCCGTCCATGCAGGGACAGCGCTTTGAGCGCCTCTGGCGGACGAGGCTAGAGACGAGCCAGAGCTCGCGGGGTGGGGGTAGGGAACAAAGCCACAATGAGCCCTACCCAGGAGGCCTGGACCCTGCAAACCCCTCCCCGCTGCATGGCCCGCCCCTCCCCGGGGGAGCCGAGCCCCGCGCGGGCTCAGGCAGAGGCGCTATGCCCCTTTCTCTCCCCACCCCGGAGGCAGCAGGGCGCGCAGTTGCCGTGAAACCGAAAGCAGCGAGTAGCAGCCAGCGCTTCCCTTCGCCGCGCCCCAGCGGCTGAGCCTTGCCGCGCCCTGCGCTGCCTGCGGACGGGGCCGGGCTGCGGAGCCACCGCGGCTGGCGGGAAAGTTTGCCGAGCCGGACCCGGCTGCTGCCGCCCGCAGCAAAGCGAGCCGCTGCCGGTGAGTAGCGCGCCAGCTGGCCGAGGCGTGCGGGGGTGGGAGGGGCATCGGCCCCGCAGCTCTGCCCCTGCGGCCCGGGGCGCGCAGAGAACAAAGCCCGGCTGCATTGACAGCTCCGCCCCACGTGCGAGGCGAGCTCTCTGCACCCGCGGGGCCGGGGCGCCAGCGACCCAGCTGCAGAGGGGCTGGGCTGGGCTGGCTGCCAGGGGCCGCCTCCGTGCTGCTCGCTCTCGTGCGGGGCTTGGGCCGAGGCGTTGTGGGTCTTTGTGTCTGGCTCCACTGCCAGCCGCAGCCCGGAGGGGAGGTGGCGAAGCCGGCAGCCAGAGCCTGCTCTTGGAGGCAGGCGCAGCGCGCCGGAGCCAGGGAATGCAAAAGTTCAGCTTCTCCTAGCAACGCGCCCGCGCCCGCCTGCTGCGGGGTGTGCGCCCTGGGGGAGGCCCGGGGCGAGCCTGGCTGGCCGCCTGGGAGCATCGAAACCCTTAGGGGCCACCGGCGCAGCCCTTCCACGCCTCGGAGTCCCGCTGCAAGTCACCGAGCGCGTTGGTTGCACCGTGTTTGCAGAACCGGCCTTTTGCGTGCTTGGAAGTACCCGTTATTTCTTCTTCCCTATAGTCATGGCTGTGTATTGTCTCGGTTAGAGCTCCCCTAATGCCCGGCAGCAGGTGCCCCGTCTGCCGGCCGGAAATGCAGCTGTTCCTGGAATATCTGAGCCATACAAAACTGGGAACCTTTTGAACTTATTGTAAAGTCAACTCTGGTACCATTCTGTTGTTTTAAAAAAATCATTCTAGTAATCATTCTAGGGGGGGAGGGATAGCTCAGTGGTTTGAGCATTGGCCTGTTAAACCCAGGGTTGTGAGTTCAATCCTTGAGGGGGCCACTTAGGGATCTGGGGCAAAATCAGTACTTGGTCCTGCTAGTGAAGGCAGGGGGCTGGACTTGATGACCTTTCAAGGTCCCTTCCAGTTCTAGGAGATAGGATATCTCCATTATCTTCTAATGTTTATGCCTAGTTACTTTCTGGTAGGGCTCGAGGCTCTCTGAAGGAGTGAATTAGGGTCAGGGTTGCTGGGTTGAGACAGCCCAAGGTGGATACAGGGCCCTTCAGTTTAGATTAAATTAACACACACATGTGCACCCTTTTTTAAGTAAGCAAAATTTACCTTGCAACAATATTCACTGTCTCCTGTTTTGTGGTGTGTGCACTCCCTGAGTCCTAACAGCTGCCAAAGCAGCAGCTTCCTATTGGATCGTCATTCTTTAATATAGCTAAATGCGTCTGACGAAGTGGGTATTTACCCACGAACGCTTATGCTCCAATACTTCTGTTAGTCTATAAGGTGCCACAGGATTCTTTGTCGCTAATATAGCTAAGACACTAAATGCTCTCTAAAACACCTTTCCAGGTGCTTTCGTCTTTTCTTATTAATTTAGATGTAGCCCTTATAACGCTTTATAATTTTCTTTTTAGTGTGACAAGGTCAACTTAAAAAAACCTGAACACAGATAATGCACTATACAGTTCTTTATCTTCTCTCTTTTTGTGTTTATAGGGCCCTCATCACCACAGTATAGGATTTCCTTTTTATTTATAAAAGCATAAATAAGCACCCATTTCCTGTGTTAATTTAGGTAAGGGCATCTAACATCATTAATTTCTCTTACCACCCTAATGAATACATACCAGCCAACAAAATAGAAGATCCCCAGAGCAGGTATAATACCTCCCCTTTAACACTTAGTGCACTTCCTTCCCCCCTAATGCTCAATGGAAAATGTGGGTGTTTTGTACCATGCCCTGAAGGTTAACAGATCTGGATTCTGGCAGATGAGGGGAGGAGAGCAAATTCAAAAGTGGAGGAACTCTCTTGACAAATGCCTTTTTAGCAGCTCTGACCTTTTTAAATTATAGAGAATCTGTATTGTATTATGCAATGGGGGATGTGGCTGTACTTGATTAAAGATATGCAAGGGGTGTGTTTACTTGTGAGGCACAAGGCTTTGATCAAGTAAAGTACAGTCAGCCATCTGAGAACTGGCAGAGAGGAGCGCTGATATTATTGCATTTATTGAAGCTGGTACTGCTTTAGTTTTTGTTCATTTGGCTGATGCTTCCTGGCATCAGCCAGTACAATTTTTCCTTTCGTAAGTTCCTCTTACACGTGGGGTGAATGAAAGGTTGCAGTGCTTTGTTTACTAAGAAATAATTCTGTCAAGGTATTCAGGTCAGTGGGGGGCTCTAGGCTGGGAACAATAATATACACTTATATTTTTAAACCATTCTGTTTGAAGGCCTAAGAGCAACAGCACTGTACAAAAATTAACAAATAAGCAGAAAACTTCAGCTGGTCCGTCACTTTATGGTATTGGAGGCATTGGCTTAGATAAATATCTTGTTTGCATTTGTATTTATTTTTTTCCTGTGGATTTCATTGAACAGTTCCTCTATGAT